TTTTGACGCAAACGCAAATCGGCCAATTTTCCCCTGTTAAGAAAATTTGCTAAAAAGTTCCAGATCATTTGCAATTAAAGTGTAAGTAAAAAAGTGATGAGCGGGATTAGTGTAAGACTTTCCGGTTTTCAAAAGCAATACTTACCTACTTTTCTCAACTCTTCCCTGACTTATTAACCTTCACTTTTCTTTTATTCCCGTAGCTTCACAGGGTTCTGACATCACAGTCTGTAAGTGTACTCGGTAATACCGGTAGACCATTCCATTAACAGCCTGACTTCTACTTTATTAACATTATTATATACCACGCCTCAATTAAAGCCTTAACTTCTGCACCAATTAGGGAAAAGTATATTTTAAATAAGTTTGTGCTAACCTTTCCCCGTGCCTTGCACATGCATCATTCTGGAGAAAGTGCGGGATGGGCTATACAACAATCCCGCCTTAGTGCACAATTGGGTGCAGTGATTGAGCTTCATTTCCTCAACAAATCCTCGAAATCAGATGAGTCTCTTGATGGTTCCTGTCAAAACCTCGTTGTTTATGAGACAAGCAACTCCTTCAACCCGATCATTTATTTGACTCATTCGTTCACTATTTATTTTAGACGAAGTAATTCATGTTGACCCTCGGAAGATGACCAGACACGGAGGTATTTTGCCCTTTAAACACTTAAAATTGACCGCCTCTGTTCACTGTTTGCCTTCGGTTGGAAAAAGAATACTCGATTTTAGTTAACCACTCACGAAAAGGTGTTATGCTTCACTAGTCCTTTTTTTTCAAAACTAATCAGACTTCTTGAAGAACTACTTTGTGTTTTTCGTTTTAATTTCTCGTTTGACTTTTCATTGTAGCTTGTGGAAAGTCGCAAATGAAAACTTATGGCAGACTTCGGTTATGTAATGTTGATTGCTTCTTCATTTATTGCTAATGCGCACTTTTGAATGTGGAAGCCAAGTTCTGTTGGGTTTCTTGCTTGAGCTAAAAACCATGTATAAATAAATTCGTTCCAAACTTACAATTTTTAGCTAAGTCTGGCGTGATAGCTTTGGCCGAGAAGTTCGCGAAGTGCGAACAGTACACCCCAAGGATTATGTAGTACTTTCATTCAGAAAGCAACCCTCCATCATCGCTTGTTGATGTGCTCATGAAGGGTGGGTGGCCGATAAGGACTCAAAACCGAGGGCTGTTGTGAATACATATTTTGTATGCGAATTTGCATCCCTATTTTCAGATGATTTACAACCAAATTTTTAGATGATGCAATAACGTCTGAATGTGAGAAAGATGACTTCCAGGATGGTGAGTGATTTCACATGAAACACAGGGTTATACTTGCACCTTCCATCACAAATATTCGCTGACCGCTTTTAGCTGCTGCTATTGAACCTCTATCGACGTCGATCTGTCCTTGTAAGTTCGCAGCAATCGGGCCAGGATTTCCCTATCTGTGAATGCATGAGATAGATTTAATGCACGTTGACATTGGTAGCAGTGCTAACGGGTAGCATATAAAAGAGCTTTAATCACGTTTTATAGTATTGAAAAGGAAAAGTAGAGCTAAAGTTGGCTTTATTGTCCTCTGACTTAGGCTCATCTCCAAAATACCGAACAGCGTGTAAGTGTCACGGAAAAGCAACTTACATGGTGTATGGCTGCAAAGAGGCACATTTCAATGACGCAGTTTAAGTTTTGCTTCATATATAAATGATTTACATTTCTTAAAAAGAATTCAGATGTAAATAATATCAGTTATGCCTGTAGAGCAAGTGTGCCGTTAGCACTAAATATGTCGTGGACAGGAAATGGTGAAATTGAATAAACTTTGTTATAGCTTTAGGCTACAAACTTGGTATACCACATTTACTAAGAAATTAGGTAGTTAGTCAAGTGTTTGAGGCTGAAGTTGCATTTTCTATCGTTGCAAACCCAAAACTGGACGCCTATTGCAATAGTACTACCATCTCAACAAACGTCGTCACTATCGTCGCTGCCTTTGTCGCCGTGCCGAGGTACGTGCAAAGTGAACCCTCGTCATCATTAAAACAAATCTTTTGTTTCCATTCCTTATACTTGGGTCATGAAATATTGAAAGGCATTATGGGACATGCACTTGTGCGTTGGCTGAGAACCTGTACCGATCGAGTTTTCTGTCTTGATATAATGATGAAGTTAACATTTTGAACCTGACTGCAGTTTATTATTATGAGTCATTAGAAGCTATGGTTACAATGTGCTATCGTTTGGTGTTAATCTATTAACATTTTTTGGCATCGAACAGAAACAACTGTGCTTTGTGAAAATTGTAAGTTAAACGATCTGTTTATCGTACGATGAAGCGCTGCACTTCTAACCTAGTCATTTGTCAAATAAAAGCTTAGATACTTGTAAATTAGACTACACAAACAAAGCCTCCCTTCATTTGCTGACTTATGATGTTTGTTTTAGCCGACTCCTCTACTGACGAAGCCGTAAGTAGTACTGGGCCTGAAATGTCTAGATTTGAGGCACGCGTACCACCTGACTACCAATGTTTCTCTTGAAGGCCATAATACTCCGTGCAGATATCCTGTATAATGAGCGGCGTCAGCGCATGTCTGTGTTTATTAGGAACCTTGAACATGTGGACGAAAAATTGAAACATGCGGTGAGTTGCACGTGCGAATTTCTCTTAATTATCAGCTTTACGACCTCAATTTACCACATTTACTTCAAATTATCGTAGCTTTTCAGTGGAGCAACACGTTGTTAAAAAAGGTCGTGCTCGAATGAATTGAGCATGAGCCAACAACACTGGAGTCGTGTGGATTCGTTTAAATGAGGATAGTGCACCTCAAAGTGGCGAGGGAATACAAAGATTCTCACTTTCATCTTTTTTATAGGTCAGGTGTATGCTTTACACGGCAGACGGTCGCAGAATGGGCAAACATACTAAGTGCAAAAAGGGTTTCAATCCATATTTCAACGAAGAGTTCAAATTCAGGAACCTCGTGCGATGTGAGTTTCAACTTTAACAACATTCCTGCCTAAAAATATTCACGGTAACCCCATGAACAAGCTGTCAGATGAACCCTTTACCGCGAAAACCTACCAGCACTAAAATTCTGTTTGGTTAGACCGAACCATGGAACAAAGGACAGTTCGTGAGCATTACAAACGGTTGATTAACCTGCTTTCGAAATCAGATTCTGCAAAACCACCCTCTCGATGCATAACGACCAGGCTCCAAATACTATTATACGCTTAAACAATGTCATAGTGCTAAGGCTAAAGTCCTTCTTCCTGCATCCCTTCAGCGGATATTCGCGGAGGTCACTTAGTGTTCTCAGTAGTGCAAAAGCACAAAAAGAACGTTGTCGGCGTGGGAATCATTCCAGGCTGCAGAATCAACCTTGACCGTGACGAAGCTCATAATATTCCCATCTGCTCAAAGGTATGCTGGAATTGAGTGGCACTTTGGACTTGTGCAAACACTTCGAAACTCCCTTATAACGATCACCCTAAACAAACACAGTCGATGTTTGAATTGAACAGACTGAAATCTGTTCATTTAAACAAATGATTTATTTTGGGTAGATTCCAAATCAATTCGTGTACAATATGGAGGATATCACAAGGGAACCGGAGAGTCTCATTCGCATACTTTATCCCAAATCAAGTGACCACATTGAGGTTTATCAATAAAACATGTAACGACGTTTATTTTGCACAAATAAAGTCGTTCGTTCTGGTTTTGACTAACCTTGCTTGCAAAAGGACACCCCGTAAAACGTGCCCTGGTTCATTTTACTTTTTGCTTATGGAGGAAAATGACAGAACCTATTTCTGTAGTGAGTTCAAGGGGTTTAGTTGTTTTAGGTACCGAACCTACTGCAGTGCCTTGGTGTGGAAATAGTAGTCGACTGTGGAGAGGTCATGGGCTAGG